AATTACTTTTGAAAATAAGTAATCAGTAAAGTAATGGGATTACTTTTTGGGGGAAGTCATCAGTAATTAGTTACCGATTACTTTTTTTCAAGTAACTTGACCAACACTGGTCCCCACAAGTATAGTAAATGTCCAATTCTTGGTCCCCACAAAGATATAAATACACACTTAGACGACTATAAGTTTGTGGCAGCTTGAAGGACGGCGGCAGGCGCGGTCCACCTGAGAGACGAGCTGCTGTGGGGAGTCGGAGCTGCCGGTTTATCAGCAAACATTTTCCTTCCTGCGTCAGGCCGGCAGGAGATGATTAGAGAGCCTATTTCAGTCGCAGCCACTCGTCGTTCTGGGACCTGCGAGCTTGTGCTATCTGGGCTCTCGCTGTCTCGAAGTGGCAGGATGTGAAAATGTGCCACAGAAGAGGATCGTGCTCTCTGCCTGGAAGCTTCAGTCGTGGCTCGTACATGTACAAAATTGACACACGTGCAGAAACGTGTTGATCGTTCTGTGGACACGCCCACGCTTTAACACACGCTCGTGTTCTTCTGTCGCCTTCGTCTGTGTTTGTCCTCTGAGATGTTTTCCATGCTGTGAGTCGCTGTCACACGGCACGGTGAGATCTAAAGGTAATCAGATTACTGTTGGTCATTAGTTTTCCTCTGAACAACCAAACTGTTTGTGCTTCAATAATTTGTGGATAAACTGTGTCACGTAGTTTTGGGTGCAGGAGGCTGCTCGAAGTTTCGGGGTTTGTGAGGACTGTGCACGTGACTCAAATATTATAAGAACTCACATTTAAAAATGTGTTTCGCTGAAAAACCGTTAGAATGTGAAGTTTGTGAGAAACAGACGCGTAACATCCTGTCACGCCCAAATTATGACTCCAGCTTTGAGAAGCTGACGCTTGCAGCACAGACGTGGTCGGCGAGGACAGGGTTGGTGAAATTAAGTGGTTTTATTGGCTTTACTGGGTCAGCTGATTGCTCAGTCAGCCATGTTGGATGTTTTGTTGCTGCAGGCTCTCGGCGCTGGCGTCTGCTGGATCATGCAGTGCAGTCTTAACGCGTGTTTGAACGTTTGGATGTTTTTGGTTTTTTGAGATGTGATAAAACTTTGCACTCGCACTTTGTTGGCATTTCTGAAATATGAAGTGACGCTGCCACAGTCCAGCCGGGCGCTACGGCCTCGTGAAACCGAACGATCATCTGTGTCCAGCAGACCGATAACTGAGAGTCACCCAGAACCTTCCTGCGGGTTGTAATAAAAACTCTTCACCTGCTGGAGTTTCGATTGTCTCTGCTGCCCCCACCCAAACAGAGCTGATGGAGGCTGACACCAGTAACTATCAGTGCTGGTGCTGCTTCTCCTTGGAGCTTCCTGTTGACGCTCTCATAGTCAGATCATGTTTGTAATGTTGTAAGAATGATGTTCTTTGTAAATCGTTCACTGGTTGGTGATTGTGACACGCCTTATTTTACTGTTATCAGCCATAAATAGCTGCTAGTGAAACTAGTGCGACGCTGCTCACGTGCTGTCTGTGGATGCAGCTTCATGACTAAGTCAGGTAGCT